ATACTCAATATTATTAATCATTTGGGAAAAGCAAATCAAAACCACAATGAGATACCACTTCACACCCACTGGGATGGCTATTACCAAAAAAAAAAAAAAAGGAAAAAGAAAATGTTGGGGAAAATGCAGAGAAATTGGAATGCTTGTGTATTGCTGATGGGAACGTAATATGGTACAGCCGCTATGGAAAACAGTATGGCAGTTCCTCAAGAAGTTAAACATATAATTACCATAAGATCTAGCAATTTCAGTTCTGAGTATGTACACAAAAGAATTGAAAGCAGGGACTCAAACAGATATTTGTACACAAATGTTCGAAGCAGCAATATTCATAATAGCTGAAAGGTAGAAACAACCCAAATATCCATTGACAGGTGAATGGATAAACAAAATGTAGCATATCCTTACAATGGAATATTATTATGCCATAAAAAGGATAAGAATTCTGACACATGTTACAACATGCATAAACTTTGGAGACACTGTGCTAAGTGAAATAAGCCAGAAATAAAAAGACAAATATTAGGTAATTCCACTTACATGAAGTATCTAGAAAAGACAAATTCACAGAGGCAGAAAGCAGAACGGTGGTAAGTAGCGTTGGGAAAGGGGGACAACTGGTGGTTATTATTTAGTGAGTATAGAGTTTCAGTTTGATAAGATGAAAAATTCTGGAGATGAATCATGGTGGTGCTTGTAAAACAATGTGAATGTACTTAATGCCACTGAACTGCACACTTAAAAATCATTAAAATAGGGCAGGTGTGGTGACTCTTGCCTTTAATCCCAACACTTTGGGAGGTGGAGGCAGGCAAATCACTTGAGCCCAGGAGTTCGAGACCAGCCTGGGAAACATAGTGAATCCCTGTCTCTACAAAAAATAAAAAAATTAGCTGGGCATGGTGGAATACGCCTGCAGTCCCAGCTACTCAGGAGGCCGGGGCAGGAGGATCACCTGAGGCTGAGGAGGTCGAGGCTGTAGTAAGCTATGATAGTGCCACGGCACTCCAGCCTGGGCAACAGAGTGAGACCCTGTCTCAAAATGTAAATAACTAAATCATTAAAATAGTAATTTTTGTTATGTATATTTTGCCACAATAAAAAGTTTGGTTAAAACATTAAGATTCAAAGTCTAATGACAAATTATGAAAATGTCAGTTTCCATTGGAAATCACTTATACAAAAAATCAGGAAGATCTCAAACTGAATGTAAAGAAATGGCAACATCAAGATGAAAAAGACGTTAGAATTATCTGATAAAGATTTTAAAGCACTCATGATAACAATGTTTCAAGAGATGGTTATAAATACACCTGAAAAGAAGGGGCAATGCTACTAAATAATATTTAAAAGTTCCATTCACAAGCAGTATTTAACCATTGTAAATCTGGCCAGGTGTGGTGGCTAACACCTGTACTCCCAGCACTTTGGGAGGCCAAGGCAGGCAGATCCCTTGAGGTCAGGAGTTTGAGACCAGCCTGGCAAACATGCTGAAACCCCATCTCTACTAAAAATACAAAAATTAGTCTGGTGTGGTGGCATGCACTTGTAGTCCCAGCTTTTCAGGAGGCTAAGGCAGGAAAATCGCTTGAACCTGGGAGGCAGATGTTGCAGTGAGCCAATATTGTACCACTGCACTCTAGCCTGGGTGACAGAGCAAGATTCTGTCTCAAAATAAATAAGCAAATAAATAAATAAAATAATTATTATAAATCTATATGCAACTTATAACATAGCCTCCAAATATGTAAGGCAAATGACAGAATTACAAGAAAAATAGACAAATTCACAATTATAGTGAGATGTTTCCCATAAGTCTCTCAGTAATTGATAGGAAAAAAATATGAGAATAAAGATTTGAACAGCATAATTAATAAACCTACACAATAACACACAACAACTGAAGAGTACTCACTACTTTGAAGAAATATTTTAAAGAAAATATTTACAAAAATTGTCCACATGTTGGGCCATAAAGCAGGCTTTACTAAGAGCGTAGTTTAGTTTTTGTTATCTTTCAATATCCCAAGCAACAAACCACAAGCTTTTGTGGTGAATTATGAACTTGTAACTATTTGGTTTATAGAGAAGAACATATTAAAAAAAGAATTTTACAATGTACTTTTTCCTCAACAAATTTCTATCTTGTTTATAATAATTTCTTTTCATGAAACTAAGATTCTCAATTTGTTTTAAGATTGACTTCTGCTACACCTTTCTCTCAGCTGGGCCAGAAAGAAGAAGTAACACTAGCAGCTGTGAAGAGGCAAAATGTCACTTAAGTTAATATTAAACTACCCTTCCTTACAAAAGAAACTTTATATGCCCAAACAGAAAAGCTTCAGAGAAACCAGCTCTAGTTTTCATTTCATTGATGTTTTGTTATACATGAAAAGTCTCTTGAATAAATTAGACATTTTAGACCTTTTCTCATCTAATCTGATATTTAGTTTCCTGGGAAGTTCAGTCCATGTTCAACTTTAAATTGTATATTATATATCTCAGTTCATGTTCAATTTCAAATTGTATACTATTCATTTTGCCTATTAATACTGCTATTATATATTGAAGTATGACAAATTAATGGCCAAATAAAACAACAACAAAATATTTGGAGGAAAAAAAAGTACAGCTACAAAGTTGTTCCCTCGGAACCTCTTAACTTGTTTCTTTCTGAGACTTCTCTTTTTGTATTTTGTGAATTTTATGCTATATGAAGACACTATTTTTAGCACCTGTTTTTCCTAGCTTCCTGTTTATATTTTGGTATCTGTGTATACCATATTACTTTGGATTCCTAGCATGGAGAAAACATTGCAAGTTTATGTTCTCCCTAAATGCAAAGCATGAATATAAAGGGAAAAAATTACTAACAGCATAAATCTTCCAAAAGTACTTTTCCTACATCTATAAATATCTCCGAGAAATTAAAATCCTTAGGAACCTAAAATTGGTCAAGGAAACAGATGTCTGAGTTCTCCTAAGTATAGCATAGGGAATAAAGTTTGGCACCAACAATAATTCCAACCAAAGTACACGTCAAAAAGATTGTCTGATTATGCCTTTAGAATGTCTGAAGATAAAATATTTTAACCCTTCTTGGGTAAGAATTTTTAAGCTTTCAATTTTTAAAAAATACTTTATCCTTTCTTCAGATACGTCGATGTGCATGGGGAAAAAGTATTTATCTAAAATTATGGGAATTATATTTTGGCAAATTTTGCTTTTTTGTATATATGTTACGTCATCAACTAGATTATAAATAATGTGCCAGAAAAACAGCTTAGTTCATAATTCTATTATCCATTATGCCTAACGCCACACATTGTACATAGTAGGTTCTCAACAAATATTGGCAGAATGTGAAATCATTAAATAATCATGTAAAATATTACTTAAAATTAATAGTAAAAAAGGAGGCTATTTTATTCTTAATCATATTTTAATGAAGACTATTTTAAACTCTATGCAGTGCTGATACACACAAATATTTAAACTATTTATGTGCCTCAACTTGACATAATTTCATAACTTGATGGCAATCACATTTAAATATATTAGAATATTTTTGTAATAATGCTATTCTAGAATAGCAACTTTAATAGCTGGGAAAACATGTTAATAATGGCCATTAACCTGAAGGAAACAGGGAACATTAAACATTTTTTTCAGAAATAAATGTATAAGTTTAAACATTCCACTATAATATTTATGAGCAAACTTCAAATTAAAATTTATAAAATGCAAACTATTCAATGTTTCAGTTAGAGAATAATTTAGACTATATTTTGTAATTTTTTCAGTGTACGCATGGATGAATACTATATCAAAAGATTCCTTTCTCCTTTAGTGTCTTTGACTATTACTATCTAGAGAAGAGGTTTTGCCGTGTTGTCCTGGCTAGTCTCTTTTTTTTTTTTTTTTGAGACAGAGTCTTGCCCTGTCACCGAGGCTGAAGTGCAGTGGTGTGATCTTGGCTCACTGCAACCTCCGCCTCTAGGGTTTAAATGATTCTCCTGCCTCAGCCTCCCCAGTAGCTGGGATTACAGGTGCATGCCACCACACCCAGCTAATTTTTGTATCTTTAGTAGAGATGGGGTTTCACCATGTTGGTCCGGCTGGTCTTGAACTCCTGATCTTGTGATCCGCCCACCTTGGCCTCCCAAAGTGCTGGGATTACAGGCATGAGCCACTGTGCCCAGCCCCTGACTATTACTATCTAAATGCCAAAATAAATTATCCTTGAATGCCAAGACCAAGGCAATCCTACTAAAGCCCTTGATTATCAATAAGTATGATCTCAGTAAACACAAATAAAAGATTTGTTTTTACCTTCAAGACTGCTATGAATGGTACAAAGTTAGCTCTTTGGAGTCCATTTTTATAGAGATCTGAAAGAAAAAGATGATATTAGTTTTTTACTTAGCCTAAATCATGATGTTAGTTTATCGTTTAGCCTGGCAAATAAAGCTTTCTACTGATTTAAAAAAAAAAAAGAAGCAAAAAGAAAAATAGACCAAAATTGATTTCTCTTCAGGTCCTTCACACATTTTATTTTAATTTTAATAAAAGAAAAAAGTTAACAGCTACAGAAAGAAGATCAAAAGGTATTCAATCAAATTAGCTTTAAACTGTTATAAGAGACAATAAAAGAATTTGGAAGGTATCGCTTCCAAAATTCGAAACCAATAACCCAACATAAGAAGATTAGATACGTAAAAGCATTTAAAACTTGAATATATAGCATTCCACTAGGAAAAAAAAATCTCTCCTTTTCTCAATGTATAATAAAAATTCTTAGTAAATAACTTGGACGGGCTCAGTGGCTCATGCCTGTAATCCTAGCACTTTGGGAGGCCACTTGAGGTCAGGAGTTTGAGATCAGCCTGGCCAACATGGTGAAACCCCAACTCTACTAAAAATACAAAAATACAAAAATTACCCAGGCATGCTAATGGGCACCTGTAAGCCCAACTACTCAGGGGGTGAGGCAGGAGAATCGCTTGAACCAGGGAGGTGGAAGTTACAGTTAGCCAAGATCACACCACTGCACTTCAGCCTGGATGACAGAGCGAGACTATCACAAAAAAAAAAGAAAAAAAGAATTAAACACTGTGTAATAAGATTAGCCTTTTTAGAAAATACATCAATAGACAGAACTGCTCATGTATTTGCATTATATATATAATGCAAACATATATTATATATTTGATATCAAGGTTTAAAAAAGTCACTTTAAATGAAATTGCCTAAAAATTAAAACTCCATTCTTTGAAGGACAAAAACCATATAATAATTTCAATTGATGCCAAAAAATTATCTGATAAAGTTCAATATCCCTTCATAATAAAAACCCTCAAAAAACTAGGTATAGAAATAGCAGACCTCAACATAATAAAAACTATATATGACAGACCCACAACTAGTATCATACAAAATGGGGGAAAACAGAAAGCCTTTCCTCTTAGATCTGGAGCATGACAAACTATGCCCACTTTCACCATTGTTATTCAACATAGTACTAGATGTCTGAGCTAAAGCAATCAGATGAGAAAGAAATAAAGGGCTTCCAAATTGGAAAGGAAAAGGAAACAGTCAAATTATCCTTGTTTGCAGGTGATACGAGCTTATATTTGGAAAAACCTAAAGATTCCACAAGAGGGCTGGGCATAGTGGCTCACACATGTAATCCTAGCACTTTGGGAGGCTGAGCCACGTGGATCCCTTGAGTCCAGGAGTTCAGGACCAGCCTCAGCAACATGGCAAAATCCCATCTCTACAAAAAATACAAACATTAGCCAGGCGTGGTGGCATGTGCCTGTAGCCCCAGCTACTCAGGAAGTTGAGGCAGAAGGATCACCTGAGCCTGGGAGGCAGAGGCTGCAGTGGGCCAAGATCTTGCCACTGCACTCCAGCCTGGGCAACAGAGCGAGACCTTATCTCAAAAAAAAAAAAAAAGAGAAAGATACTTCCACACCCCACCCCAGCCTCCCCAGTAGCTGGGACTATAGGCAAATGACACCACGCCCAATTTAAAAAAAAAAAAAAAAAAGGAAAACTATTAGAACTGATAAACAAATTCAGCAAAGTTGCAGGACACAAAATCAACATAACAAAAATCAGTAGCATTTCTATATGCCAGCAGTAAACAATATAAAAAACAAATTTAAAAAGTACTCCCATTTACAACAGCCACAAATAAAATCAAATACCTAGGAATGAACCAAAGAAGTGAAAGATGGCCGGGCATAGTGGCGCACGCCTGTAATCCCAGCACTTTGGGAAGCCAAGGCAGGAGGATGATGAGGTCAAGAAATCGAGACCATCCTGGCCAACATGGTGAAACCCCGTCTCCACAAAAAATACAAAAATTAGTGGGGTGTGGTGGCATGCACCTGTAGTACCAGCTACTCGGGAGGCTGAGGCAGGGAAATCACTTGAACCCAGGAGGCAGAGGTTGCAGTGAGTTGAGATCGTGCCACTGCACTCCAGCCTGGCAACAGAGCAAGACTCCATCTCAGAAAAAAAAAAAAAACGGAAAGACCTTTACAACAGAAACTACAAAACATTGGTGAAAGAAACTAAAGAGGGCACAAACACAAAAATGAAAAGCTATTCCATATTCATGGATTGGAAGAATCAATATTGTTAAAATGCTCATACTATCCAAAGCAATCTACAGATTCAATGCAATCCCCACAAAAATCACAATGCCATTCTTCACAGAAATAGAAAAAGCAATCCTAAAACTTACATGGAGTCAGAAAAGATCCAAAATAGCCAAAGCTCTCCTGAGTAAAAATAACAAGACTAGAGAAATCACAATACCTGACTTCACACAAAGCTACAGACAAAAACAGCATGGTACTGGCACAAAAACACATAGACCAATGGAACAAAACAGAGAACCCAGAAACAAATCCACATACCTACAGTGAACACATTTTTGACAAAGGTGCCAAGAACATACATTGGGGAAAAGACTATCTCTTCATTAAATGGTGCTGGAAAAACTGGATATCCATATGCAAAAGAATAAGACTAGACCCCTATCTCACCTTATAGAAAAATAAAATAAAAATAAAGACTTAAATCTAAGACCTCAAATTATGAAAGTACTGTAAGAAAACATTGGGGAAACTCTCCAGGACATTGGTCTGAGCAAAAATTTCTTGAGTCATACTTCACAAGCACAGACAACCAAAGCAAAAATGAACAAATGGGATCACATCAAGTTAACAAGCTTCTGTGCAGCAAAGGAAACAGCTGGCAAAGTGAAGAGACAACCCACAGAATGGGAGAAAATATTTGCAAACTACTCATCTAACAAGGGATTAATAATCAGAATATATAAGAAGCTCAAACAACTCCACAGGGAAAAAGTCTAATAAATCCGATTAAAAGATGGGAAAAGATTTGAATAAACATTTCTTAAAAGAAGACAATGGCAAACAGGCATATGAAAAAGTGCTCCACATCATTGATCATCAGAGAAATGCAAATCAAAACTACAATGAAGTATCATCTCACCCCAGTTAAAATGGCTTTTATCCAGAGAGGGAATAACAAACACTGCTGAGGATGCAGAGAAAAGGGAACCCTCAATACTCTATTGGTGGGAATGTAAATTAGCACAACCACTATGGAGATCAGTTTGGAGGTTCCTCAAAACACTAAACAAAGAGCTACTACATGATCCAGCAATCTCACTGCTGGGTATATATCCAAAAGAAAGAAAATCAGTACATCGAAGATATATCAGCACTCTCATGTTTGTTGCAGCACTGTTCGCAATAACCAAGATTTTGAAGCAACCTAAGTGTCCATCAACAGATGAATGGATAAAGAAAATGTGTTATTTATACACAATGGAGTACTATTCTGCCATTAAAAAAAATGGAACTTGAAACAACGTGGATAGAACTGGAGGTCATTGGGTTGAGTGAAATGAGCCAGGCACAGAAAGACAAGCATCACATAGTCTCACTTATTTGTAGGATCTGAAAGTCAAAATAATTAAACTCACAGAGAATAGAAGAATGGTTACCAGAGGCTGGGAAGGGTAGTGGGGGATGGGGGAAGGTGGGGATGGTACGAAAAAAAAAATAGAAAGAATAAAAAAGGCAGGGCATCATGGCTCATGCCTGTAATCCCAGCATTTTGAGGCCGAGGTCGGCGGATCACTTGAGGTCAAGAGTTTGAGACCAGCCTGGCCAACATGGTGAAATCCCGTCTCTACTAAAAATACAAAAATCAGCCAGGGCCAGGCATGGTGGCTCACGCCTGTAATCCCAGCACTTTGGGAGGCCAAGGCAGGTGGATCACCTGAGGTCAGGAGTTCGAGA